AGTGGATTTCATTGCTCTTGGATTCAGTTTGGATATATGTTGTGCATCTTTTGGTTACAATTTGAATGCTTGCAGTGTCCTTAAGACCAAGAATCCAAGGTCATGGTTCTGATAGTAGGATTCTCTCGATCGCTCTCTTCTTCTTCATGATGACTGCATTCACTTTGTTTCTTGTTTGAAGCAAAACTCCATTGCCCCATTCAAGTCTATGTGGGTATGAGTAATGCTAGGTAGATTACATTTGTAGACTAAATTTGTAAACTAAATGATGTGTCACCAATTAGAAATAAGAATATTAATCAATACTTAAGTAATAATCCAATCATAAATTTTCATGTTATTTAGTTTACAAAATTTAGTCTACTCATTTAATCTCCCTAGCATTACCCAGGGTGGTTATAGAAAAGTTTCTATTTCCTCGCTCTAAATTTATTTTTACATGCATATATATAGTATTTCCTTGCCATCAAATAAGAGATTCCACTTTCTTAATATGGAAAAGTTCTAAGCGAATGATGACGGAGATTTAAAGTCATCTGTGTGATCCAAGAAATTGATTTTTCTCTCGACATTTCATCAGCTTCATTCATTTTCTTCACGTGTACATCTCTGTTTATATGCTTCAACTCGAGCCAGCAGAAGAATTGAATTCTATACTTATTGATCAAAATTGGATTGTCCAGAAAATTTTGGGGGCAAGGCTAGTCGGGGGAACAATGATATTTTCAAGAACTAGGAATAATCGAGGAACAATGGGAATTTCTTATCCATGAAATAGGCTTTTTCAAAAGACAAAGTATGGTCATTTTCAGACTTATTAGGGATTACCTTGTCAACTATTTAGAGAAGAGGTGGAAGTATTGCCTTCCACAAATTAGGGCAGCCCCACAAATTAAAGTTTAGCCCTAGATATGAGTTGTTTTCATCCCAAATAAAACCATGACCGACGTTTACTAATTCAGAATTATTTGTTCATATTTTTATAAGTTAAGTGAGATTTTAAAGGGCATTTTGCATGGTGAGTTCTAATGCAAAACAAGCATGCCCTTAATGAAAATATTAAAATCTATGCAACTAAGCAAGTATTGTCCTGATCTTTAGGTCTCTATCTGGCCCAATTTGGAAGAAGAAAGGGAAAGAACACAAGCATGTAATAGTGGAAAGTACCTTCCTTTTGATATATATCATTTTTTATCTTCACTAAAATCAAATGCAATCCCCTCTTGGATGGACCTGCCGGTCCTCCATTGTTGCCCATGTCACTTCAACAGCTGAAAGCAGATTCCATGAGAGCAAGGCAAGGGAGGCAAAGTTAGAAGGATAGAGAGAGACCCATCTAAGCATCTTCCTAGATATGAAGGCCCATAAAAGCAACACACTTTTTTTCTTGTTGTACAAGAAAGAAAATCGACCTTCCTTTGGAAAGTATAATGATGATAACAACTTTTTATTAAGGAATTGATGTAAGCGCTTTTGTCTTGGAGAAGCCTCCTCCTAGGACTAGGAGTGAGGGATTTTTTTTTCAGTTATTTTGAAAGAACAAAGATATGCTAAAGCCACCCTTCTCAAAGTCATTTGGCAGCTTTTGTCCTCTTCAAAGTAAAATAAATTGCGTAGGACACAACATAAAGCTTAATTGAAGAGCCCATGCATATGCATTTTCAATCAATACAAAGCCATCAGTCAAATCTTGTAGAGGTTATTATAAAAAAACATGTAGATGGTTAAAAAATATGCTTGACTGCGTACTAATCAAGAATTATATATCTCAATCACATACAGTTCCTCTTCAAATGGGATTAAAATTGGTTAAAAAAATATGTTGACAGTACAATTTAGGTTTTAGATTTTCATTGTCATTTTTTTTTTGGTTAGAGATAGAGAGATATATCATCAAAAAATAGGAGTGAAAAAATGATGAAGGGAGGAAGGACCTTTAAATGGAAGAAATTATGAAGCAAAGACTTGAAATTAAAACCAACTTAAGATGGTTTTCACATTTTGATCTTGAGAGCTGCAATTAAATGAGTGCACAACGACTGTGTTAGAGTGTTAATAACATTTTCTTTTGAGTTTTAGTTTTCATTTTGTGTATCCTTTCATGTACATTTCTTCCATATGAATCCTTTCTCCAATGTGTTTTCTCCCCTAGAAAAATAAAATAATAAAACCAAGAACAAACAACAAAGGAAATGGTTATCAATAAGTTACTAGGGATCGCTTTCAAGAATCATATTCCAAAACTTAGATGTTTTTCTAAATCATGAATAGCATGACAGTTCAAATCACTTTTCTCTTCTGGTTATTTCTGCATGCATATTCCTAAGCTTTCTGCACCAATTATGTCATTCACGGCTCTCAAACGAATCTCTTCAAATTGATATTTCCTTAGTTGCAAAGAAATGAACTGAGCGATGAATTCTGAAGACCATTTCCTATATTTCCAAGCAAAATAGGGTTGCACATAAGAAAGGAAAAAGAACTAAAAAAAATTCTTTTAAATTTATGTAAGTGAAGACAAGAACCCAATGACAAAACCATGAGAGCATCCAAGGCAAATAGCTAAGAAAAGTAATGAAAAGAAAAGCAAAAGTTGGTATGAGGTGGAAGATGGAGTGGGGTTTGAGATGTATGCATAGAAGGTGTGTGTGTGGGGGTTTGTGGGTGTGTGTGTGTGTGTAGAAAAGTTAGGGTTTTGTAAATCAGACAATGTTATTAGCTTCTATCTCTTTCTCTTAACTTTTATAGATGCCTGCCCACCATGCGTATCCCCTCCAACTCTCCCTTGATCTTTCATTCATTGTTTTTGATCTTCTCTCTTTTGTTTTCTACTTTTATCTCTTTTCTTATTTTGTTGTTAGTCAGCTTGGATACAACGCATTCTTTTCATACTCTCCCTTGATCGTTCCTTCATTGTTTTTAATCTTCTCTCTTTTGTTTTCTACTTTTATCTCTTTTCTTATTTTGTTGTTAGTCAGCTTGGATACAACGCATTCTTTGCATCCCACACATTTTCTTTCGTGCCCAAGCCTCAAAAAGTAAGCACTCATATGATTGTCAAAAGCCACTAAATGGTAGGCCATATCAATAATAAAACACACTCATGCATTACTCTCTCTCTCTCTCTCTCTCTCTCTCTCTCATATATTTGGTGGTGTTCTGGCTCCACAAACCTTTGCATGGATGAGTTGACTACAACCGTTCATCATTCTAGTTGTATGGAAATCTTATCCAAGTAGGTCAACCCAACGTTGTTCGCTTCTCAAGTCTATTTCATGCTTTATTTTTTTGTGCTATTTATTTGGGTTATCTCTTCAAATTAAATTAGGTTTGATTTGGCTTGGTTTAATATTCTAAATTAATGACCACATAAAATTCTTCTGTTATATCAATAGAATTATATATAAAATCATATACATGCAATTTCTAAAATAAAATTTTGTGTTTAATTTACAAAACACTTCTAATGGATGGAAAATTAATCTGAATCATCTGCATGCACATGTGCGCGTGTTTGTAATTTTCTACGTGAATTCTCATGGTTGAGTTAACAGTAGTTATATTTGACGAAAACTTGATATGCAAGCCATAAGTGCAACATGTATAATGATATAGGGGTAATACTAGGGAGACCAATTTCCAAAATTCTACATCACAGTTTTCACTTGTTCATATTTGTCTATAACAATTCAGCCATTATAATTAAAATTTTGAAAGGAAAAGACATATATAATACCATTATAATTGTTGAGTAACACATTCTCCAATCCCGAAAATATTTTTATCAACACTCGTCGTTCATAAAATTTTAACCTAATAACACATTCTCAAATAAAGCAAAGATTAAGGATTGTACAACAATAAAAGATACAAACATATAAGCCCGGCCTATAAATATCTGTTGGGATACTCATATATATATCTTGAACTGGTGGATGGCAACTTGGACTGATTGATGACAACTTTTCTTCAATTATTAGGGTTCTTGGGGATATATGGTAAGAGATTGACTTTCTTTGTTTTCTATTATATATAGTTCACGCGTCGCAGAAAATGCTGACCAACGATCAATTATAATTCAGTTAGAATTAAACTAAGAATGTAGTGTGTGATGGTAGGAAAGGGGCCTTGTCCAAGTAAGCCTTTCGTTTTCTCTAATATAAGAACAAAGTTTGACAAATTTTGATGATCTAAGCTACCTTACTTTCAACTTAGAAATGATTAATTAAAGATTTTAATTATGGGTTAACAACTATAGCTAAGCCAAAATTTCAATGATTAGGGATTTGCATTCGTTTTGAAAAAGTATAAATTGTCTTAATTTGAATGTTATCAAAACTTTACATGGGTGGTGGTTGTGTTTTTTTTTTATTTTTTTTTATTTTTAATTTTTTATTATCAAAAAGGGAACTAGTTTCACATCAGTCCACCCGTTCGGGGGTTGGTAAAACTTACAGATGCATTTTAGCCTCCTCCTACTCACCATCGTGTGATTCACTAGCGCCAGGAATCGAACGGGGATATGCCGTATGGAATACGGGTCAGAAATTTTTCCCCAACCACTGAGTCACCCTGTGGTGGTTATGGACGGTGGTTGTTTACTGCTTTGAGTTCGAGGCAAGGTAGGGAATTTTCAATGCCCTAGCAAGTAGTTTTTGTGTACGTAATATGCATGGCAGTATGAGTACGTAAATATTGTTGCATGTTTTCCTTTATCTTGGATTTAAAATCATGCATTGGTCCCATGCGGATTGGATTATGAAATTATAAGCGGATTGGATTATGAAACTATATACAATGTCATGTGTTCAAAACACGATGTTTATCCTTAATGTCATTGAGGCGTTTGAATAACGCTTTCGTTGTACGCTAATATGGTACAAAAAATGGTCCCTCTAATATTACCATCAGCATGCCAAGTATTTCAAAGTACAAACACAGTTCTTTGCGCAAGCTTTGTACATATAAAATTGAGAGTCAGTACACACTAACAAATTGAATTCTATAGAATGATGCAACTTATCTTATTTTTCACAACAGCAGTACACTTTAAAAATAATCATAATGAGCCTTATTCGACGTAAATATACAAAATAAAATCAAAATAAATCACTGTTGAAAAGAAACTAGTGTCAATGGCTCAAAGCATCTCTACTGTAGGCGTCGACAACGATCCATGCTACCAGCGACTCCGGGTAACTAGATTGAAGTACAAGCGATGCCGTGTAACTCAAAACATGCAGTACGGTGAGGACTATCAGGACCTGGTTAAGCCGGGCAACGTAACCTCAAGTCCCTTACAACTGACGAGGAAAATGATTTTAGAATGCATCTAGATCAGAATAAAATGAACTTGGAAAATCTCAAGCGCCGTTTCGGAGATAATTAAAGGGAAGAAATCGTCCCTCCAACAAGCTTGCAGCCTGAAGGTTAGCACATGGATGGTAACCAAAACTCTTCAACCTCAGTTTCACTTTGTAATGGCCATAATTTCGTTTGGAATCTCAATCAGCGATGACAAAACACTTCTATCAAACTCCATACATTGGCAAGAAGGTTTTGACAAAGGAGTACGCAAGTGCACCTGTGAACATGTAACTGTCCACTCTATCTAGTATTCCACCTGCATTAGATGTTGGTTGATAAAATAATTATTAATAGGACCATCAAAATTTTCATGCTAGCTATATAATATATACTGCAATGTGTATTGAAATAAAATAAAATGACATAGATCATATGAGCAGCATGCCATCACTAACTTCAAGAGAGTGATATTACTAAAGGGTCGACGGAAAACATAAAAGCATGGACTGCATGCCAGACCTAAACATCACGTAAAACCACAATATGCAGAAGACAAACAGTAATTGTATCAATACAAGGCTTTGTCATGGTTGGCAACTAGACAACTTTTTCAGGAGACCATAGAAAGATTGCACAGCAACACCGCGTGAATCAACACAGCAGCATGAATGAATATGTCATGCAACCAAAAAAGACGGCCCATAGATTTTGGGGTAAAAACGTTTTCTAGAATGACAGTTCAAGGACATGCCCCATATTCTAGGCAATAATTACAACCGTGGAAGATGATGGGTATAAATCATATATCCCAAATAGGTAAAGAGATATAAATGAAAACATTATTTGACACTTTAAAAAGTAATAACATTGGGGGTTGACAAGTTGAAGAAGAAGAGCATTGAGCAGGGGATGAAAACGGAGGACAATTTCATGTAAGGCTCTTACCAGAGGCTCTTGATAGAGTTTTTCGGGGTTCTAAGGTCTTATGCAAGGCTCTTAACGGAGGACTGAGACACAAAATGAGGGAAATTCATCTCAAATAGTCTCAAGTCATCCAGACATGATCTAACAAGTAACAGCAGCAAAACAGGCCTTCCTTTAAGGACCCTACTTGAGGACTTCCGTATTGGTCTTTAGATCATATACAAATTTTGTAAATACATGAACTAATTTGCATCTCATCGGTCCATATGTGATCTAATAAAGAGCCCAAATCCTCAAATTATGTTTTCAACTCTCAGAAGAACAATATTGTATGTATTGCATCAAATAACAGATAATGCATTTTCTCAAAAACTTCCAAAAGTTAAATGCTTTAGCACAAGACTAATCATGAGCTGAAGGGTATTACCATGTCCTGGTATTAGAGACCCAGAGTCCTTAACACCCGCATCACGTTTGATCATTGATTCAGTAAGATCACCAAAGACAGACGCAAAAAAATTGAGAAATCCAAAAGCTATAGCACTGAAAACAATCCAAAATACAAAACAAATGCACATTAAACATATTTTAAAACTGTACAGAACTAGAGATTTCACCAGATAAAACTGAATACCTTAGCAAAGATTTTGGCCAGCAAAAAATCCTTGATAACACAACAGAAGTGGCTATACAACCACCCAAGCCTACAATAGTTCCTTCCCACGTCTTCTTTGGACTAACACTAGTTAGGGGCGTCCTACCAAATGCCTGCGCATGTACAGAGCTATATCAAGATGTTATCACAGGCATGCGACCAACAAATACCATGAAACAAGGAAGTCCTTCACAGTATGTCATTGGTAAATAGAAGTACTTGCATCTTGAAATTTAAGATGACTTATCCAACTTCTCATATTAATTGCCAAAATTGCAACCATCTCCAAAACTGAGATGTATAGCTGGATGCTAAAATGGAAAAATTCTTTTGAATAAGTTTCAGGCACAGTGACACATTAACAAACTAAAAACTGATTTGTCAGATTATATAATTTTCTGGAACAAAACCTATCACACCTTCACTAAGATGGAAAACAATCACTTCAGAAAAGTTGAAATGCAGGGTACATACAACCTTTAGCAAATACATAACCTCAAAATTTGCTAGTCTTCACTTCTGTTTCCAAATATTAAATCAATGACATTTTTTTCAAAAGTCAAAGTCAAGGTTCAATTTCTTAAGAGGAATATTCATCCTTGAAATTGAATTGTTCATGCCACCAGGATATTTATAACTGCTTGTTGACAACACCTAGGAGTCGTTATGTACCAATCTGTTCAGAGTGCTAACAAAAGCCACACTAAGCTTTAGTTACATGATGACTGGTGATTGCACATGATTGGAGGCAATAATACCTGGAGTCCCCTTCTATTGAGGGATCCCTCATATAAGCTCTTTTGAGGGACACTTTGTGGGGCCCACTCAACACTGTAATTCAATGATCTAATTGGGACAAAATAAACACTAAAATGATCGAAGTTTAAATGGTCATATCCCTTCTGATTTCATTAATTTTTTGCAAGGATGGCAGGTAAACCTTAAAAATGGAAAGTTCTGATTGTTGAACTTTATTTCAAGATGAGCCTTTAATATGTGTTCCTTAAATAACTGTGGCACAACCTTTTAAATAAAATTTGCACATGCAATAACAACAGTTCTACAAGCAACTTGATAAGGAAGATACTTTAAAATATTAAAAATAAAACAAGAGAGAAGATGGATGAGCTGCATGGATACCTTGCCACCCAAAAAGGCACAAGTGTCGGCTGCAATAATGCTACTGAAAGAAACCAAGGTTGCCACAAGACCAACAGTCCAATGAGCTTGTCCACCAAGAAGGATGGGCCATGATGCTCCAATTCCTACCAAAGAACAAACTAATAAAGAACCAAAGCTTGACGTAGAACAGGTAAATTCAGTGCCCATTTCAAAAAAATTCATCGCTCAACTTTTCTTTAGAAATATGTAAGCCCAACGTCTTACTAGTGTTCAAGGCTGGTGCTACTAGACCACATCGAAGCTTAACCCAAAAACAAGGAAGATAACCACAGTAAAAGAGCCCAAACATAGTGCTGCTAAGCTGTGCAAAGCGAGGATTTCCTCTCTGTAAAAGCAACGCCATAGCAACAAAAAAGGAAGCAGATGTGACAGAAACATCAATCTGTCCGCGATACCTGCCCACACATCGGAAATTCTAATCATAAATCAATAGTGATCACCTGTCGGAAACAGAAGTTCATGCCTACATATTAAGACAAATGTTTTGATTCAAAGTTAACATAATTGAAACAAAGATGAATGAAAAAGCATTATTTTAGACAATCTAATGAAACAACCAATAAACACTTATTGCAAGTTTCAGACAACAATACCATTCTAAGAATTCCAATCCCATTCCATACATATCCATAAATACAAGTTTAAGTAGTATGAAAGAGTTAAATTGCTCAACAAATGAAAGCGTAACTGTGAAAAGCCAACTCCACAGCCATATTCAAATTTATTGCAGTGACAGCCATAGAATTTTAATGTAATACACATCAAACAAACCCCTGCAATGATAAGTGGAATGTGCAGAGACTAAATTGGTCTGAACCTAATTTACATATTAATGTTTTACACTTTGTCCACAATTTCTTAAATCCATACCCCGCCCCAATACAAAATAGTTTCATTGAGCAGTGAGTACAGGAACATGGTTTCTATAATAAATGAAAAAAATTCTCACAAGAAGAGGACTTATATACTAACTACAATTTTATTTCCAGCTTCCAACTAAGATACTAATACACATCAAACAAATTCCTGCAATGATAATGGAATGTGCAGAGACCTGTAAATTGGGTTACTCTTTGTCCACATGTTCTTAAACCCATTCTAACCTGCCCCAATAAAAAAATAGTTTCGCAGTGCAGTGAGTACAGGGACATGGTTTCCATAACAAATGAAAAAAAAATCTCAAGAGGACAAACCTTAGATACTAACTACAATTTTATTTCCATCTTCCAACACATACATTCAAAAGGCAATAATATTATGAATAAAATCGACACATGGAAAGTAATAAAGTATTATACAGAAAAAATCCCCACTCGAGATTACAGATCTTACAAGGTTACTAGAGGCATGAGAGCACAAATTACAGAGCAAACTCGTGATACATATCGAGGTGGAGGTGTCATTCCTTCAGTGATTCCATGACTCCTAACCAATTCAAAGTACTCACGTGCACCAACAAAAACAGCTGCCGCCACAGCTGCTGCAAACACCCATCCTCCAGCCAACACAACAACGCCAACAGATAACCCAATACCAAGTCCAAAGAAAATTCTTTTCTTTAACTGACTTGCTTTCTGTTGATGCTCTGAGACTACATCCTCATTCAATGACAATTTATGGCCTTTGTGGACTTCCTACAACATACCCATTTCAGTACATTCCTTCAATAAAACATGCAACATCTCAAAAGAAAACTAAAATGCGTTCGTAAAACTCAATCAAGCAGAACCCCCCCAGTAGCTAAGTTCGAGAATATTTTCACCAACACTACAAAACTATTTCTAGATCACTTTTGAAATCACATATATACCACAGCACTGCATGATAACTTCCTACTCCGTGTATTTCATTGTTCAAGACCCTTCAAAAGACTTCACATTCATCACCTTACCCATAAAAACAAAATTTTAAAGTTCTTAGCATGCATTGTCTTAATACTATTATGACCGATAATTTCCCAAAACGATCAATATGGTGCAAAAAGAAGGAATATTTTAGCTCGCCACCACATTGATTGCTTATTAAATTTCGAGATTTATGTATTACACAGATTAAATCACACTCATCCAACGACAATCAACGTGATATCACCACTTGGGCGGTGAGCAAAATTGTACTCCGCAAAATTTTCCAAATTCCAATATTCCTATTACTACCAACCAATCTTATCCACTAAAGCAAGTTCCTTTTAAGCGCCAAAACCACAACTTACAATCAAATTCACCTCCACCTTAATTTTTAATCCAATTCACCAAAATGCCACACCCAATCACAGCAAAACCAAAAACTAACAGCAAAAATGAATCCGTTTTGTTTCTTTTTCTCCAGTACCTGGTTGGCATTGTCATCGCCAAGGTTCTCCGGCTCCGCCCGAGCCACAGCCGTAAGTACACGGCGGCGCGCCAAAATTCCATTCCGGCCGAGCCCCAGAGGACGTCTATTCCCATCGAAAAAGAGATCCAAATTACCCAATTTGGCCGACGTACGAGTAAATACTAGGGTTCTTGAGGGCGAGGGACGGCAGGGACAAGAGCAAGGGGAAGGGAGGGAGAGTGAGAGTGGAGTGCACCGGTGGAGTTGGGAATACGACGTCGTCGCCATGAGGGATTGGGAATTGGGGGTTGGTCAGTTATATTAGGGATTGGAGGCTGAGATTTAACAAGAAGAGCATGTCGATTGCGATTGTCTGGGTCTTACAGAGAGTCCCGCGCCACCGATGTGCAAAGGGGGCGATATTGTCGAGGACTTGGTTTTCTTTTGTTTCTTTCCCATTTTGTTTCTTATTATTTTCACGAGTATTGCTTCTTACAAAAAATGAACAGAGAAGAATGAAATTAAAATATTTAGGAGGTGTAGTCCACTTAAATCATGTTCAATCTTCGGATTAAAATTTCAAATTTTTAATTTAGATAATTTAGATTTTAACCTTGAAAGAATTTTTCTGTTTCAACCTTTTTAGATTAAACTTTTACCCCGACATTATTAAAAAATAAATTTAGGATAATTTTTTTCGTAAAGTAATTTTTTTAAAAACAAGATTATGTAGATTGTGGATACAAATTTCCACCGTCTTGTCCTTTGACGAAAATGTACCTGCAAAATAATAACACCTAAGATTAAGTCCAAAAGCCTCACGCACTTACGATGAATGGGGGGCTTTGGCAGAAAAATCTTCGATGCTAAAGTTAGAATTTGAGGGAAAAGTGTTTAAAGAAATTTAGAGAGTTTTAGAAGAGAATTGGACTTAGGTTTTTGGAGAAATGAGGGGGTATATATAGGAGTGTGGCCGGCCCTATTTGGAGAAATGGGGACCGGCCACTTATGGTGGTTTCTTGGCTCTAATTGCAAGATATTATGTCAAATAATATCTTGCAATCAATTAGGAAATTAATCAATTAATTTGGATAATTAATCCCAATTTTAAAAGGATAATTGGGAGTTACCTTGTGAGTGAGGATTTGATGAGGAATGATGAGAGGGTTTAAAGAATACCATTTTGATCATCTTTGACCTTGATTGAATCATTATTGTCTGTTGCATGTACGTGGGAGTCCCGGTGTGCCTTAAGGGTAATTTTGTCTTTTTACCCAAAAGTTCACGTGTCACCTCCATATTTTTCTTGATTATTTTTTTCTCCACAAATGCCCTCACACCTGTTGGGCTGCTCGCAAGAAAGGGCAGCAGGTGTAGAGATCTTCTTGCTTTAGGAAACATAGGATTGTTTCCTATCTTGGCGTAGATTCCCTCTTTAATTAGAAATTAGATCCTTCTAGGAAAGGGAAATAAATCACTTCTAAAGTTTATTTAAGTCTACCCTAGCAATCTTCTGCACTTGCCCATACAAATGACCGTATTTCGTTGCTTTCTTTGTCTTCTCTGTGTCGCACTGAGGTAAGAAAAGTTTAATTTTCCTTGTCTTCTTCATAAACAGTGTTGTCGGGGAGCAACCATCAGGGTGGTGCAGCACGTTGATTAACAGGGGCCAGGAATCGGCTCAGCATGGACCGAAGAGTGTTGTGGCTGGGACCACTACTTAGGCTACTCAACTTAGCTAGAGCCAAGGGCAGCAGATTGAGGCACTGAGGCGCAATGCTAGGTGAGTCACATGGCTCATGCCCTTTGGGCTATTGGATCTTACGCGAGCTAGGTCGGTGATTGAGAAAAATAAGGAGGTTACGGGCCACATGGGTTGCTGGAATGCTAGGCATGCATGTTTCCTGCCTGCTGGTCCGAGAGAAAAAATTAGGGAAAAGCCAGCATGGGTCGAGCTTTCCTGCTGAGTACCGTGAATAGTGTTGGCTGCTTAGTCCTCTTCGTTAGGAGAAATATGGGTTACTCCCGAGTGAGGAGACAAAAATGATTAAGGCGGATGCATTGGCTTGTCCGATCACTATCGTGGAACCTACTATGAATGAAGGTGGAAAGAAGAGATATTCCCAGCCTACTCAAGAGATGCCAGTTAAGAAAAAATCGAAGACTTCATCCACTGCTCGTGAGGGTCCGTCTGCTGCCAAGAGGCTTGTGATTAACTTGACTTCTTCCGATAGGAAAAAATGAGGTCGCTAGATCTAAGCCTGTGGCATCTACCATGCCAAAAATGGTTAGTACAATTGCATATAGGATTGCTCAGCATAGACGTTCCGTCATGCCCCTAGTGCCAATGTGTCCATTGGGATCTAAGTATGGTTTACCTTTGGATAGGCTTGCGAATATAAAGAACAATAAGGTGGACTCTGCTGATAAAGTGGCGCCAAGGCCTACTCATCCTGCTGTTGAGGCTGATTCGCCTGCTGGGAAGAAAGAGACTGTTCGCGTGGGCAGCTGTGAGAAATCCACTAAACTTGCTTCTAAGGTGACTGCTGAGATCTGTGCGCTTTTGAAACTAGATCTGCTTGAAGACATAGACTCTTGTGCCAAGTTTGTCGATGGCGTTATAGGGGTTGTTTGCCCAAGTTCCTTTGCAAAGCATACGATCGAGTATAGAAAGACTGCTCTACTTGCCATGATGCAGAAAACAGTTATTCTGCCCCCAATTAGTCGTGAGTATAGGAATTTGAGCTCGTCACTTTGAAGGGGTTTAATATCTTTGCCTTCATTTCTCTGCAGCTTAAGACTGCTCGCTAAGAGATTGTTGACTTGAAGATTAAGCTTGACACAATCCAAGTTAAGTATGAAAGTGCAGAGAAAAAGATCGAATCTTACATACCTCATATTCAAGATCTTGAGCGTGCCGCTTTTGAGATTCGTTTCGTTGCTTATGCAAAGGATGAAAAGTTGATTGCTGCTTATAACTAAGTGATCAACTTTAAGAAGGTAGTTGATAGGCTTAAACCCCAAGTGTTAGAACTCCAAGGTGCATTGAAGATCAACGAAAGTTTGAAGAAAGAAATGGATGAGCTGCAATGCATCCATGTTGATCTGCTCGAAGAGAATGAGCGGCTGAAATGTGAGAAGGCTGGGCTCGAGGCTTCGTTTGTTCAAAGTTAGGCCAATTTCTACAAGCTGGGTTATGTAGATCATCTATTTGGTAGGCCGTCTGACTTCAAGTTTGTTGGGAAAGACTTCGAATCCTTTTCTATTTCTCCAGAAGACTTGTTTGCCTTTACTTTTAAGGCCTTCATTGGTGAAGCAATCAGAGAGGTTGATGCCCAAGCTAGAGTAGTTGGGGGTGAAGCGCTGGATGATGTCGCTGCTGGGAGCGTTGGGGCCGCTGAAGGTATGGTAACCGAGTAGTTGTTGGATGTCCAAGTTGCTGAAGGGTAGTCTTCTAGGTAGCTTTTAGGATTTTCTTGTTTCTTTTGTTTTTCTTGAACTCCTTTAGCATTTGCTATTTGTTTATCAATTTTGCTAGAAAATTTAATAAACTTGCTTCTTTTGTTTTTCTTCATCTTTGTTTCTTTTGTTTACGCCCAACGTTTGACCTTTAAACTAGCGCAGGCATGCTGCTTTTCTATAAGTAGACAGGCCTGCATAGGCTATGCAGCCATAGGTGCTGGTGTAGAACTTTTGCAAGTTTGTTAAACATAGGGTCGACAGCCGGACGCCTTACTTACAGAAGCGGACGAGTCTGCGTGACCACTTGGTTGTTAACCTTAGCTTTCTTCAATCCTTTGAGCTAAATGGCCTACATCACAACATGCTAAAGATTTTTGGGTCATGAAATTCGCTAACCCTTTGTATCAAAAGTACGTGGTTGTATGGAATTTCATAAGCAAAGGTTCAAGAGAACTCATTGCTCTTTATGTAACCAATTACATGGGTTGCGTAACAAGTATCACTACACTTTAGGAATTAGTATAGATCTAAATGATCATTCTGAACTTGGTAGAGGTGAAACTTATCGACTACATAGCATGTCGGCAGTGGATAAAGCTTCGTATATGCATGCTAGCTTGTTTAACTTTTCTCAAGAATGTGTGGTTGTATGAGTCTAGCGTTGCTTTACTGCTCGAAAGGCAAGTCGTAGGCAGTCTTCCGGAAACCGTAGGCTACCTTAGTGCATTCGGTAGCAGTTTTAGGGTTCCAGGGCAGCCATTCATGGGGAGTACTGCGTAATGTGCCTCCTCCATCTCTAAGGCCCGGTTCCCTGCGGATTAGGCCAAAAGACCCGAAATCCTTTAATTAGCTAAGCCTTGAAAAAGACCATTGTGGCTATTTCTAGGAATTCCAACATAAGCCATCATGCACCTAGTTACACCAAGGCAATCTGACTCATCCACGTCTAGATATTCAGATTGTAAAATTTATCCTCCCGCATTGGTGAACAAAGCCATGTGGGTGTCAGGGAATTTGTTTGCCCTCTCGCACTGGAGAGCAATTAGTTTATCTTCTCGCACTGGAAAGCAGACCCAAATGGGTGTCAGGGAATGAGTTTACCCTCTCGCACTGGAGAGCATAGTTGGTCCCTAGGGAGGCACAATTTCTACGATAAGTCCTTAAGAAGGGCACCGTCTTCTTTTGAAGTGCAATAGTGATTAGTTGTTGTAAACATGCAGCTGAGTCAAGTTATAGATTAATTCTGAATTCCTCATTGAAAAACGAGTAAAACGAACGAGAACTTAGCTGTAAGGTAGGAACTGTATAACAACTAGATAACCCTTGGCTTGCGAGGTGGTGCCCATCGAGCTGCTTAAGTCTTCAATCTTTAATGTAGCGGGAAGTCACGCATAGTACTTCCTCAGATTGTAGGCGTTCCACTGCTTTTAAATCTCTTTGTCGTTCATGGTGGCGAGGGTGTAAATACCCTTGCCATCTACTCAACTGATCTTGTACGGACCTTCCTAAATGGGATCCATCTTTTTGGAGCCTTTTCTATGGGCAGTGATGAAGGCTTTTCTTAGGACTAGATCTCCAAGCTGGAATTGTCGAATCTTGGCCATTTTGTTGTAACTGAAGAAGAGCTGTTGCTAGTAGGCTGAGATGTGGATGATGACCTTCTCGCGTTTCTTCTCTGCCAGATCTAAGTTTGTGGCCATCTATTTTTTGTTCGGTTAGGGATTTCTTAAGGCAGTCGAGAATCATCATGTTGGATGCTTCGGCGTGCCTATTGCCTTGGGGATACCTCGACGTGGACATGTGTTGCTTGATGCCATATTTCTAGA